CGGACACAATAATTGCAATGACGCCAGGAAACTTAATAGGAGATTACATAACGGATAGTTTGTATTGGTGCAACTGCTGGTCATCAGGCTGACCCAGAAAACAGGCTGCAGCGCTTGACCTAGGTCAACACGCCCACTCTTAGAAAGCACAGGGGAAGGGGGCAGAGGATACACTTCTGAAGAACTTCCCAAATGATGTGGAATCTCTGCAACGCTTCGTGGAATCACGAGAGAAAACGCAATTTTCATTCATGTTACTTTTCGTATTTCACGAATATAGCCTTCTCGCCTGTATCAGTTCGGAAGGAGTTCTGAAACGACTAATTCTTTAGACTTACCTGGGACAGCTCAGTCGCCGACTAGACTATGGAGACGCACAGCCGAGGAATCAGGATTAAAGTCCTAGCAAGGGGAGCGAACAGAATGGCTCTGGGGCCCACCCAACCTCCTACACGATTGGTGTCGCGGGCTCATTTCCCGGAAGTAGAGCGGCACCACCCAGTACAGAAGTTAAGAATGCATGGAGCTATAGCTCCTCCCCCTAAGATTTACGTTGCTTTATTTAGAACAGCGAGAGTTTCGGTTTAGAGAGCCGGGATAGCGTAGTCGGTAAAGCGACTGGATACGGGCTGGACGACCGAGGGGTCCAAGTTCGAGTCCCGGTAGGGTCAAAAATTTTCTCTTCTCCACGTCGTCCCGGAGGTAAAGCGGCAGGGGTGTGAACCTGACCACTCACCTCCAACTAGTGCCGAGTTCAAGAAAATTTGGGTCTATACATCCACTAGCACATACAACTTCCTGGCGTAGTGTTTAATTAGGTAAGCACAGGGACAACTTTACCATTACCTTTTGCTGGCTGGGGGGTGGAGTCCAACTAGGTCCACTCGGCAAGGCGGCCACTGATTGGCCTATTGTAGCCTGCCCCGGGTGATTATGATGATGGAGAATTTGGTGGAATGAAGATTGGCAGGGGAAACCGAAGTACTTGGAGAAAACCCGCCCCAGCGCCACTTTGTCCACCACAAATTCCACTTGACCAGACCCGGGATCGAACCCGGGCCGCCGCGGTGGGAAGCCAGCAACTAACCGTTTGAGCTATGGCGCGGCCTATAGATAGTATCTTAGTAGCTGATAGTATGAAGTCAAATAAACTGAAGTGTGCACCTTTAAATGAAACATTAAGAAATGAAAAACAAACCCAAACAAATTCTTCCGTAGAAAACGTGCTGAAATTCGCATCCAGCAAAAGAGTTCTGTTGATACTACTGCTACCGTGTCGCCCAAAGCGCTGTTAGCATCTCATCATACACGTACAGAATAGCACAAAAGAAGAAGCCGCACACGAGCGCTGAGACTGTGATACTCCCTGCTGCGACAGACATGACAGAAACGATGTTCGGCGAAGAATATGCTCAGCGGCTTCGTAATGTACCACTATCAAAGAACATGATCTCTCTATGGATTGCCGATATATCAGGAGACTTAGAAAAACTGCTGATTGACGAGCAGAGAATCATATGTAGACTGGCGAGGCCACTGATTATGGTTGTATAGGTCACTTGATAGCTTACGTGCAATACGTTGAAGATGCAACAATTAATGAAGCTGCAAATCTATAAAAACAAGATAAACGGCAGAAGAACTCTTCAAACTTGTTGATGATTTCATGGAAGAAGAAAGCATAAAACGGCCAGACTGCGTTGGAGTACGCACGGATGCGGCTTGTGTAATGGCAGGAAATAAAGGAGAACTACAGGCCGTAATTAAACGATCAGCACCAAAAGCCATGTGGACATATTGTAGTATACCTCTTGAGTAACTGGCTAGGAAGAAATTATGCCCAGAACTGAGTGCAGTGACGGATAGACTGATCATAACTGTAAACTACAGGAATACTCGTCCGTTGAAGAGCCGATATTTTGTAGAATCATACAAGGAAGTGTGGACCACAGTGTCAGTCGCTCCTGTTTTACTGTTATTCTCGTTGACTGTCAGGAGGAAATGCTGTGCCTTTTGTTTGCAATTTGCGAGAAGGAGTAGCATTCTTTTTGGAAGAAGAAAATCAGGTACATGGTGAACATTTTGCAAAGAACATTTTGTTTCTAAGTTAGCCTATGCAAAATATATTTTGAGTAGTTCAGTTGAGAGAGCACAAATGTGCAAGGCAATGCTACTGACATCATTATAATGACTGATACAGTGAAGGCATTTATTGGGAAGTTGGGCTTGTGGGTCAGAAAACTAGAAGCGAAGAGTCTGGACATGTTTTCTCGTTTGAAAGATTTTGTGGAGGAAAAAGTTCGGAAACGAGTGACACTGGAATTTATCAGTGTAGCTCCGGTTACAGTTTCCACACGGCAATTCAATTTCTAAGCGCTGAGAACTTTACTCTAAGCTCCCGGTAAAAAGTAAAAATATGACCTCATTTTGCTAAACCACAAGTAGAATGTGACTGCATCAAAAGGACATTCTATATACTGGGCTAGTAATAACAGTTCCCAAGTTGTTACATAATTTTTGCAGTCACGTGACACGCAAGGAGAGAAAGAAAAGGGAAACGCTCGATAGTTATTGGACGCCCCAGCTGTTGCGTTGCCTAACTTCTGTCATTACTTGACGTTCCCTTTGCTCGAAGTGACTGGAGAACGTACGCAAGGAAAAATTCTGTGATTCAAAAATGTATCAAAGAATTGTTTAGACAGGCCCGACAGAACTTACACCAAACTTCATAAAATAAATGAGTTAATTAATAATTTGTTTAAAATGTTATTGATGTTTACAAAGGTTTACATGATTACACTTCACACATTCACAGCCCCTCATCACTCCAAACGCCAACACTAAACACGTTGTATAAGTGCTCACATATCCATTATAAAAATTTTAAATTGTAAGATCTCCGATTTATTTATTTTAGGTCACAAACGTTCAGCAACAGAAAGGTGTTTCATTACAAGTGTCGTAATTACAGCAAGAGATCACAAACACATAAAAACAGTGGTATTAAAGAAACCGTGCATATGAACTGGAAATTTAAAAGCTGCAAAATTAGCAATACGGTATTTACATTGAAATCTGGGCTGCTTGAAATAGACGGGAGCCTCTCCTAAAACTTGAGGCCGAGAGGCCGCGTCACAGTCCCTACGCCCAAATCTGGAATGGGTCGTGCTCTACTTTCTTTTAGAGCCAGCGAAAGAATCGACACATATAACGGGAGCTACAGTCTGCCGCCTGCTCCTTTACTCTACTTACATTGCCAGGCAGTTGGAGTGGGCAATAAACGTTGAAGGAGGCTAGGCAAACGGGCGAGGGAAAGTCAGTGTTGATTCTTTCGCTGACGCGACTATAATTTCAGGTATAAAAAATGGATATTACCACTGGTATCAGACCTCGAAGATCAGACACGGCAAATACTAAGCCCGCCCTTCGACACCATCCTGAACTCGTTTCTTCCAACGACTATCCTTACAACTTATGGCCCTAATGTACTTTTTAATATTATCCTCACATCATCTTCTCAGTGTTCCACGGATGGCTGACGACATCTGGCTACCCTGAAGACGAGATGAAGTATACCAAATATTAATGCCATAGATCAGAATTATTTTTGTTGTGCCCTTTTCTCCTGGACACCAAACTGTATAGTAGCTTCCTCAACAAAACTGTCTTTAGCTATCCCTATAACAGGCTATGGAGGCCCATAGGGTTGTGAGACGCCGAGGCTAATACATTTTTTAGATAATTGGCTAACAGATGGCGGTAAGGTTGTCAGCCTTAAGCGCCGGCCTCCCTTTACTCTCCAGGATGATTCCTGGTACTCGTTCCTGTTAGAGGCTGAGTCGACCCCAGGGCCATAGTGCGACTGGAAGGGTTAGGTCAATCTAAAAGAATCCACCTCATCGGTACTCGAACCCGCGACCTTCAGGCTTGTAGCATAGTGCCTCAACCAACTATGCTACCGCATGCCCTTCAACAAAACTGTCTTACACGTTGTAGTAATTCCCTACGAAAATATTCTGGCTTCTACAAACGCTAGGTGTCCTACAGGTCTATGCATCTTGTTATGCAATATCTTAAAGTTCTCTCTTTCTTGGATTCAAATATTTACATGAGCACTTCAATGTGATTCCATCCAGTCTCGAGGTTATGAATGCGTGGAACTGTACCTCCACTACCCCGTGGAGGTGCTTAGTTAAATACAACAACTTTACCTTATATATTATAAGCTATTCAAGAGAGAAAAAGTTAACAGAATATTGTATTATTAATAATCACTCCTTTCGTTATTCAAGCTACCTGTTGCATTACCTGCTTTCCATCTCCTTCTGTTCAGGTGCTCACACTGGTGATAGGCCTGTAAAACTCACGCCCAGAGGAAAGAAAGGATGGTTTGAGAGACTAAGATGTAAAGGTAAAGTCAAAAGGTAAATTTGTCCCTGTGCTTAACTAATTAAGCACTACTCCATGAAGGCGTATGGGGAAGTCGATGTATAGATCCACATTTTGTTGATCTCGGCACAAGTTGGAGGTGAGTGGTCAGCTTCACGACCCGGCCGCTTAACCTCCGGGAAAGGGTCCCCGGTACACATTGGATAGGAGGTTGGGTAGACCCCAGAGCCGGTCTGGACGATATGGAGAAGAGAAAATTCTGACTCTACCGGGACTCGAACTCCAACCTCTTAGTCGTCCAGCCCGTAGCCAGTCGCTATACCGACTGCGCTATTCCGGCTCCCCGAGACTAAGATGTTGAGAATGTAATTACGTGTTGTATAATAATTGTATCTGGTTTGATTAATTTATATAATTTTAAATTTTAAATTATTTACTTAACCATAGCAATAACATACACAGGAGACGAATCATAAATAATGACGTGATTCTGCCTATTGGAATTGTACAACATTTCTGAAAATTACTCAGGGATGTAAGGATCTCTTAATATTTTGCTGGACTGTTGAAGACTATTTATGTTCCCGTATGAGTATGTTTTACACGCTGACCTGGGCTACTGCGAGGGCCTGCAGTTGCATCAGTTGCTGACAGGAGGCACTGGCTTCGATCCAGGCGGCGGCCAGTATGAAAGACCCAAGCACGAAACTGACGAGCACCACGGTGACGGCGGCGATTCTGGCGATCTGAACGGCTGTGGAGCGGGGCTTCTGGTAGGCCTGCAAAAATTATAGCAGGAACATAAACTTACTATAAGGGAGGGGATAGTATTTTTAACATTACTCTAAGACTCATACCTCGGTATTTCTCCGCTGGAGTTTATTAATGTGTTTCCTTTAACTCTCATAAATACGATTGTTTCCCTAAACATAGGAGTATGACTAATTAACCGACTGAGACCGTTGTGTACTTTTGGAGAAAGAGATCGAAGCCTTAAATGCTCATGTAATAGAAGAGCTTGGCGTTTACACCGTCACAATCAAGAAGACCCTATTCATAACAATAATTTCTCAGTTCACTTTTAAGGGCCTAAAACAAATAGAGTCCGGCAATGAAAATTTTACATTTCCAAGGGATACCCCTTCTAGATTTAAAAACAATGTAATTTCTCCATAATTTATTCCTTAGAATTTATATAGATTATTTTTATTCTGATTTTCTTTTGTGTGTGACGCATAGTTCAGAAGAAAGCGTGCGACGGTAGGTCAGAACTCGAACTTAGGCGACTGTAATAAGAAATGAAGACATGAACGTTCAATACAAAATCCGTGCGAGCCACCGCAGGATCAGACACGGGTTCAAGACCCGGCAATAAGTGGGGCAGTTACTGTGCCATTTCCTCCGCATGCGCGGAAAGATTCGTGTACACGCCGCACGCCTCCACCTACAACTGGGTCGTAGCGGTTCCACACAGAGTCTTTGTTAAACAGCCCAGCAACCTTGCGACCTGAAAGTAGTCGTCGCTTGGAACCGAAGCAGAGAACAACGAAGAGCGAACCCCAGTGGACTGTAATTTTCTAACATGTCAAGTTCCACTGCTACTTAAGTTAAATCCATGTAGATTTCGCGGTGTCGCCATGTTGTTTTACTTTCTATGATAGAATGCTTGCGGAATCTTGTGAACCGATAATGAAACTTCTGGCTCCATAAAAGGCAGGGAACTTCTCGAGTAGCTTAGCGACTGTTAGCTTCTGAAGACGGACTTCTCTTCGCGGAGTTATTTAGGTAGTTGTTTGGTAATACTTAATTCATTAAAAAAAGTTGCGTATTATTTTAATCTATTACCATGTCGTATTATTGGAATCTACATTAAGTGATGCTAGGGGGCACGCGTAGTTGGTTGGGCGGCTATGCTACAAGCCGGAAGGTCGCGGGTTCAAGTCCCGATGAGGTCATTGGATATTTTCAATTGACCTAATCCTTCCAGCCGCACTATGGCCCTGGGGTTCACTCAGCCTCTAACAGAAATGAGTACCAGGAATTAAATAAATAATTTTCCTTGGGAATAAACCGCGGCCGGCGCGTATACCGCCATCTTTGAGCCGATTGTCTAGATAATCTGGGACCCTCAACGTCTCACAACCCTATAGGCCTTCAAAAGCTTTACTTTACTTTACTTTACTTTAATTACATTAAGTAATGCTAGTGTGGACTCAACAACTAAAGATCGCGCGGCAATCAAGTTTGCATTCTTGGTGGCAGAGGATTAACAGCTTAAGTTCAAATGTGGGGTGACCTATAGCCGCACGACGTTCATACCGAGCTATCGGTCAGCTGGTTATTAAGTTACATGACAAAAAGCAGGCATGGTCGTTTCAAATCAGTGTTTAATTACAGACAAGGTAAGTAGGCGGTGAAATACTAGGGACAGCGGGGACCACTGTTTGGGTCTGGTTGCCATGACCACGATAAATGCCTCTGTTAATGAATACCGAGTCACTGGAACACAATGAAGGCTCAGAGTGAAACGCTGTGTCACTTGGAACCGGGTCAGTGTATTTTCTGCTCCAGATACGCTGCATAGAGGGGGGACTAGGTGTGGACGCTTCTCATAGCGAGGGTTGAAGAGTCTACAGAACCGTACTGCACCGAAAGATTAGAAGAGGGTATGACAGGCTGCTAGTTTGTGGAAACAGATGTTGTACTTGAGGCCCAGGCACAGAAATCACACGTAAAGCAAAGCGCAGTCTACTGGCTGTGCAAGTACGTTGAGGTACTTCACAGAACTGTGGGGAAGGTGTTTCGTTTAGCGAGCAGGATTCTAAAAATACTCGTACAAATAAGAAATACATAATCATTTCGACGGAACATTTAGGCCTACACCACGAGATGTTTTCACTATTTTACGATAAAAGAAAATTATTACAATTACAACCAATAATGGGAAAACATAAACAAAAATAATGACGAATAACAATTACCCTACTTGAACCGAAGAGAGATGAAGTGACAGGAGGTTGGAGAAAACTGCATAATGAGGAGCTTCATAACTTGTACTCTTCTCCAAGTATAATTAGAATGATCACGTCAAGGAGGATGAGATGAGCATGGCATGTAGCACGAATGGGAGAGAAGAGGAATGCATATAGGTGGGAAAGCCAGAAGGAAAAATACCACTGGGAAGACCAAGATATGGGTGGGTGGACAATATTAAAATGGATCTTAGAGAGATAGGATGGGATGGTATGGATTGGATTGATGTGCTTCAGGATAGAAACCAGTGGAGGGATCTTGTGAACACGGTAATGAATCTTCGGGTTCATAAATTTCTTGGAAGCTCTTGAGTAGCTGCACAATTGGCGGCTTCTCAAGAAGGGCTCAGCTCCATGAGTGAGTGAGTGAGTGAATTATTGACCATTAACCTATTAAGACCGGTAGTCTATTCGAAATGATGGACAGACAAATCAACTAGTCGAACAAGGATTGGAGCTGTTCTGGGTCTTTTTCTTCCTTTATGACCCAACTACTATGTGAGAATATTCTGTTGAAATCAACATAAAATTGTAGAAATTAATACAAGTATACATAGTCCGTCAATAATGCAACAATTGTATATTCACCATTTAACAATTAACACAACCTTATTTCGGTCATAGATGGCCATTTTCAGGTGTTGTCTTCACGCTGCTAGAGGGTACACACAAGCAGGGGGTATATTGCAGATTGCAGATTGCAGATGTAGCAAAATAACGGGCTAACAAACAGAACAACAAGCTGCAGAAACGAACCTTCTGGAATAATCACACAGCTCCAAACAAGTGGACAATGCCCCTTATGGGGTGGAATAGGATTTTACGAAAAAAATGTTAATAGAAATTTTAAAGGATTTTAATTAATTATTTAAGTTATTTTTAAGTGGATTGCAACGCACGGTTTTAGCGCACATCAGAGCAGCGTAAGAGTTTGGATACATTAAGACCCCTGAAGATGGTCATCTATGGCCGAAACATGTTGTGTTAAGCGTTAAATGGTGAATACATAATTGTTGCATTTTTGACGGACTGTGGATACATAGACGTTTAATTAAAGATATGCAACAGGATGCTGATATACAGAATTATAAGGATACAGTTGTTACACAGATTATCCAGGGATATTTATTCTTTATTCCGAAAGTAAGAACGCAACACATAATGAAATTATTTAGAAGAAAGAATAAGATTCAGATGTTTACTGTAGCAAATGGAAATTTGTATCATGCATATTTAGAAGAGATCGTCATCATTATCAGAGAACGACTTACAATAATTTCCTAAAGCAGTATGGAAATGTATGGAGACAGCTTGTCTGCAACTGACCTTGCACATTACGTTATAAAGCAATATTATGTCCAATCAGTGAAGAAATTCTTTAGCAGGCTTGACGAAGAAATTCAAACGGATTTAACTGTAGACTAAAAATTAAGAAGACGAAAATAACAATCTCCAATGAAATAGGCTATATATTAGACCTTCTTTATATTTCCTAGCGCTTTTCAGATAATAAACAAATTACAAATACGCCACAATCAAATGCATTATTTTTTTGCTAAACACGCATTCATACTTGTCGCCAAGAAAATAGGCACGCCTGCATAACTGTTGTGTCAGAGAAGTTGCCTCGAGGGCAAGGCATTCAGCGCGTGTGCCAACAGCCTAGAGGAACGGGATAAATGTGGGTTCCACTGTCTCGTAAGTGGAAGAAGGGAGACTGGGAAGATGATGTACAATCATTCAGTAGCTTTCACTTAAATAATTATATAATTCTTCCAGGTCTATAAAAAATTGGATCTCTGAGGGCAAAGTGACTAAGCTGCAGACTAAAACCGATGAAATGGCCGCGCCATAGATCAAGAAGTTAGTCGCTGGCTTCCCACCGCGGAGGCCCGGGTTCCATCCCGGGTCTGGTAAAGTGGGATTTGTGGCGGACAATGTGGCGCTGGGGCGGGTTTTCTCCGAGTATTTCGGTTTCCCCTGCGAATCTTCATTCCACCAAATTCTCCATCATCATAATCACCCGGGGCAGGTACAATAGTCCAATCAGTGACCGCTGTGCCGAGTGGACCCAACTGGACTCCACCCCTCACTATGCGAATTAAAAATAGACCGATGAGTAGTGGCTTAATTCCAAACAGAGCATGAGAATTATTCCTTCTCCATAGCGCTCAGACGGATTTCTGGGCCTACCCAACATCTTAGCCCACGGGTATCGGGACATGACTCTAACACCTCATCTCTATACCTCCACCCCTTCATACGTTTTCATGGTGCTTAACTGAAGCACCCTTGTGTTCCTTTAGAAATTAATTTTTATGGGCGGAATTCATTTAAATAACAGGTTTAGATAAAAATTCTCTCCCTACATCTAAGAGAACACATCGCATCTCTGTTAATAATATGACTCAGGAAATAATCGCCATTTATTCTGAAAGTCAAACGAGCCATGTACATACGCTTACACAATAAAGTAATTCTGAAGAAGGAGACAGTAGCTCTGATGGTCAAGAAATTCTCCATATTTTTTAAACCCCAAGGTCTCTCACCCTTATTCACATAAGCCCGTCGCTGAACCTTATTTTGGCCACTTTAAACCACGTCTTCACAATCTATTCCCTTATAATTCAATTTAATATTTTTTCATCTATGCAAATGCCCGTCAGGTTTTCCGACTAAAATGTATTTCTCATTTCCCTACTGCACATCACATATTCCCTCACCTCATTCCTCTTGACTTGATCATT